AATAGTTCTATTTTAATAAAAACAATGTTCATTGTTAAATCTGAGTCCAGCTCTTACCCCTTTTTCATGAGAGTTAAAACAATCATGCTAGTGATGCTCTCTGTTGATATTCTGATACTGGAAATTGCCAAGGTAATTGTATAATATGATTTTCTTAAAAGCATGAAACAGCTTTATCTCAAGTATGTCAAACTTAATCCCATTAATCCTCTAAGGCAGAAGATACTGTGCATTTGCACTGGTGTGCAATGTAGTATGTGACCTTGCAAGGCATAATATTGGCCATTCAAATAAAATAAGAGCTTTTGTGCAGACCCCCTGACTGAAAAAAATAAGAGAGCTGGAGGTTCACATAAACATTTCTCTCAGCTTTTTTTCCAGACCAACAGAAGAAATCACACTACAGGATGTGTATCATATGTGTGGTACATACAGTACCATATGTGTAGAAACAGAATGTATGAAATAATGTGATTGAATTTATTTTTGCAGTTTGCATTTTGGAGAAGGCTTTATGTTTTACTTTTTTTCTCATAATATGAAACACTTTGTTGCAACAGTGAACTGCACTGTTTGCATGAGCTGTTAGAGCGATGTCTGTTACAGCCAATACCTTTGAGGCACTAAAAAGCACTCTGAAAATCAGGTCACTTCTTTTAGTAGGTATTGCTTGAAGTATTTGACTATAGGCACAGCAGTATTAAAATGTTGACATTATTTTATCTGCCTGAAACAAAAGGAAATGCTGACCTTTTAGGGCTGTTTGTCCTACTCAAGTATGACACAGACAGATACCCTTTCATAAAATGTATTACAATTGTTAATAGCTGAGGCAGAACTTGTAAAGTGTTTCTTTACCCTGCAAATGCTCTTTATGAGTTATATGATGCCTCACAGTTTTCTCCTACACCAAATTCTGGAATCAGGGTTTCTTGTTCTTGTGAATGTGATATAAGAAATAAGAAAAAAATAAGTTAAAGGGGAGCTGGACCCATATTTTCATCTAAAAAATCAATTATATACTGAAAACTTACTGTAAACAATAAAAAAGTAAAAACAATATTTAGAGGAAAACAAACCAGTCTTCTTAAATACCTGCAAAAATAAAAAACAAAAACAAACAAACAAAAAACATGGTTAAACTTTATGATGTAAGTTTTAAAATAGCTTTTTAATCAAATATCCATTACATTCTTGTAATGCAGCTTTGTCTAGGCAGGTAAGATAGTTTGTACAAACACTCTGGATTCCTCAGTGTGTTCTGTGAAATTAGAAGCATATCTGGGTTGGTATTTCAGTCCATTCTCTCAATCTGGATGGATTTTTAACCACAGCCATTTTTTTCTCTTTGGTTTGCCCTTAAACCCATAATATGGAAATGGAAGTTGAGTCACTTTTGTGTTATTTCCTTTGGTTTTGCACACACAGGTGACTTCCAGTACCCAAACCAGCCAGTGGGTTCGTGGCACTCACTGAGGCTGCTTTGCCCTGGTCTCTGTATGAACAGCTCAGCTTTCTTTTTCTGCATCTAGTGTTTCTTAAAAAGTGGAAAAGCTACTAAAAATGTGGCTGTTCTTTTCCACTTCACTGATAGGAGGAGAGCTCAAACTGGAAACTACCAATCATGTCATACAAATTGAGGGACTAGAGCAATGCATTCAAACCTCACCACGGTACACAGTGTTTGCATGTGTAAATAGAAAGTTTTGGGGTAAATCCATTGCAACCAGAATTCAAAACCTGGGCTATTGTATCTAAATAATTTTGAGAAGTTTTGGGATAAAAGGTCTTGAACTTATACGTGGTGTTATTGATAACAGAACTCAATTACACCAAAGTAAGGGTTTCCACAGTAACTATATCTCCTCACTTGTACTGCAGCTATAAACCACGGCATTAAATTTAACAGTGTATCTATTATTTAATAAAACTACAAGTGTTCAGCTTGCCTGAATTATGGGAGCTGTATGAACATTGTAACTTTATTTCCCCTGACTTTTTCTCCATTAAAGACACCAACCTTAACAATATACTAATAGTTTATTTGGTGCATTAAAGATTAATTCACTAATTTATCTTAATAAGAAAAAGATCTTCAATTAAAGCATAATGAATAAAATATTAAACAGATCAAAGTGCATATCCCCTGAGAATTCACAGATTCTCTGTATATTCTGACTTCGGTATCTAGTAGCTGCCTAAAATCTGATCGGAAACACACCATTACAGGTTTTAAACTGCTGACTGAAGTCTGATCATGGCATCAAAATATCAGCAGAGTTTGAGTTTACTAAACCTGTCTTAAATTCTTTTTTGTATGAGTGATTTGAAAAGTCAAAGTTTTACACTGACAAGCAGAAGCTGTATGTTCCAAGTATGAATATAGACTGTACACTCACTATTTGATGATGTTCCAGGCCTAGAACTAATGCAAGAGTAAGACCTGAAAAAAATGTTATACTCTGTCTTTCACAAGTGGCTAAGGGAGGAATGTAAATACTTTGTAGTCTTCTATATCAAAAGTCGAAACCTCTTCTGAATGTTTCCTTCATTTTGAAAGTGTCAGTTTCCAGATGTGGTGTCCAGGCATAAACTAGAAGACACAGAATGGAAATACTTCTTCCTTTTTTTGGTTTTTTTTTTATGTAGAAAAATATTAGAGATGTTCATTCAATCCTGTTCTTCCAGTAGATTCTGTTAAAACTCATTGTTTTAGCTAAAGCTTTACCCTATCCTAGAAGAATATTTCAAGTGTTTTTATAAGTATTTATTCAGTACTATCCTATAGATGCACAATTCTGCATTTCATCATTCAGTAAGAAAACAGGACTTACATATACTGGAACTATATTCCTGCCTTAAGGAACTGAGATTCTTTGAGCCCAGGAAAATAACTTTTAAAAGAAACAAAACAAACACACATAAACATACAAAACAAGCAAAAACACACACACACACATGAAAAAAAAAAAAAACTCAAACCCACAAAAACAAAATTTGCAAGCTGGTGGAAGATAAAAATTGTAGAGCCATTAACTTAAAGACAACATGGAAATTTACTTTAAAAATCCACAATGTAATTACTTTAAAAAGCCACAAGAATTAGGTAAATAAATCATGGAGCAATTGAGAACAACTAAGTAATGAGAAAGAAGACTGGGTCTTAAGAAGGAATATTGATAAAGGTGCAATCTAGAGTAGATCTCCTGGATTAAATCTTCAGTCCTTTGAGAAAAATACTGAAGGTCCAAGTGAGTTGCAAAGCTGGACTTGACCAAGAGAGAATGGGGAGAACAGAACACAAGAGGAAAGAAGGACTGTTAGAGCCTGGCAGCTTAAGGAAGGCCCTAAATCATTATGTCAGAAGCAGGAAAAGAAAAACCAATGAAGAAAGAAGGTTGGCAAGGTCTTGGGTTTTAAAATCATCAGGAAACAAAGCAAATGCATAGGCTGTGAATAGTTTAATTAATAAAATAATATAATTAATTAATTATAACAGTAATAAGCCTATATAGACTTAGGACCATTACGTGTTTTTGTTCCTTTGTATAGAACAGTGGATTTAGGGTTGCAGTTTACAGCAGTATAGATTGATAAAAGGCCATAAAAATTATTTGTATTAACAGTAATATTTGAAAAGCTTTACAGGCTCTGGACTTAGGCTTATGTTTGTAGTGGGAATCAACAGCTAAGCCGTTAGCAAGCATTGCAATGTTTTAGTTTTGGTTGTCTAAACAAACTGGCACATATATGCTCTAGCTGAAATCTGCAATGGGATTCACAGGATCCTCAGCTGAAAGTAAATGTTGATGAAAAACAAACTTCTCATAGAAAAGATTATTCTGGTAGGTGAGAGTATTTATAAGTCACAAGACAAGTTTCATAACCCAGATTCATGCCTCCCTATTTAATGTGGCTTGTAAGGTTTTCTGAGCATTATAGCTATGGCTGGTTTAGAGAGTTGATTCACTGAGAAGAATCAGAGAAGCAGAAAACTAAAAATTCACAACTGCTTGTATTTAAGTCTAAAACAAAATTTGTTTAACTAAAAATCCCTTTTGCAGGTTCACCTTTAGATAAAAATGGTGTTCCTGCAAAATAGCTTCAATGACTCTGCTCCACTGCATGTTGTTTCTGCAGTTGGAGGAAAGAGAAGGATGCTGGCTTATGTGGTCAGAAGAGCCCCAGGAGCAGAGGAATGGAGAGAATGGGTGGGAAAGAGCACTCTGCTCTTGGACTGTTCTTTGTTATGTCTCAAAATCTTATGAATACACATTCCCACTGTTGCAGATTTCCAATGCAACAAAAGAAGGGACAGCAGTGACTTTAGTTCAAGAGAAATAATGCACATCATTAAGGAGAAGAAAAAGAAGGGAGTAAAGGACTGAGACACTCAGACTAACGGAATTCAAAAGGAGGCTCACTGCAAGCTGCAGGTGTGCAGTTGCACCAATTAAGCTGCAAAAGCACTAACAGGAAAATTTCACACTTCCAAACCTACTTTTGTGATGATTAGTGCATAGCTCCACTAATTTGAAAAATATCTTGAGCCAAAATCATCCTGGTGAGTGTTCCTGTGTACACTCTGTCAGAAAAGTTTGTCAAATAGGGATTGATATTTCAGCTTTTGTGCCTCCCCAGAGATGTTCAGTATGTTGAGCTGAACCAAAAATACTCTGATCTGGTTTATAAAGGCTTTGAATTAAAATAGCTGAAAAAACCCAAGATTTTTCCAGTCTGATATTAAGCCTAACCAAGCCTTCTATGCCAGTATGTATGCTAGAAACTTCCCAGATAAGTAATGGAAAATAGCGAAGAACTCCAGGGGTGCTTCTGACTATGGAGGGTGAGAAGTGGGCCTCCATTGCAACAGCAACCCATGGTCAAGTGAGATTAAGAAAGAGCCTTTGGCCATCAGAATTTTTGTTATGGCTCTGTTATGGCTTATAACATCAGGGAGGTGCTTGTGTACTAACAAGAGAATTGTGTTTATACTTCAGGTTCCTCAAGATGAATGGACTGGCTACACTCCACGCGGAAAAGACGACGAGATTCCCTGCCGCCGGATGCGTAGTGGCAGTTACATCAAAGCCATGGGGGACGATGACAGCGGAGACTCTGACACAAGTCCGAAGCCATCTCCAAAGATTGCTGCACGGAGAGAGAGTTATCTCAAGGCCACCCAGCCATCCCTTACCGAGCTCACCACCCTCAAGTAAGTCCATGTTCTGCTGTATCACATACAGCTTTCCATTAAGACACACATTTTCTATTTTTTTTTCTTTTCTTTACATTTTTATGTTTTCTCTGTTTGTTTCTTCTCTTTATTTCCAGCTACCAGTTCAGAAACATATTTGAACAAGTGTGTTCAGTCATGCTTATTTTTGCATGGGTTTTTTTTTCTGAACAAGAGTAAATCTGGGAGTGCATTTCAATGGTGTTCTGAAAAGGAGCCTGCACTATGAATTTGTGAGGTATTTTAATCTGTTAGTGTTAAGTGAGCATCCAAGTATGTACAGTAGGTGTCCTCTTTGAATGCTTTGCTAAAATACAGCTCTGGTCTGCAAAAGCTTTGTGTAACTGTGTATTTGTATATACTCACTCAACACGTGACATTAGCCCTAAAATAGTCTTTGCAACTCCAGAGAGAACCTGACATTTATTTAAAAAGAACAAAGACCATCTGAAAGTAGAGAAACCCATGTTTTCCACTCAGAATTGCACTGTATTTTGTGGAGAACCAAAAATTGATTTTTTTTTTAATTGTTTATGAAAGTTTTAGCCAATAGGAATCCTGAGTTTGTGGGTTTTAAATGTCACTATTTGTTTTTCCTTTATTTGGGCCTTTTAAAAAAGCCACCCAAATTGTCAAGAAAATTGCACAAATGGACAATTTTGTATTAACATTTTATTTTAATTTATTCTAAAATGGAAAGGTCCCTTCAAGCAAGAAAATAAATTACATCCATAAAAGAAAATCGTGCAGATTTAAAATCAACAATTGTTTCTGTCTTTTTCAAAATTCTTAGCTATAATAGTGAATCATAGTTCACTGGGCCAAAAATAACCCAATTTTGGTATAACTTGCCTAAGGCTGTAGCTTTAAAATGGAGGGAAAAAAATAAAAAGGATCTCTATCTCTTCTGGTATCCATGATCAGTGACAAAAGACTCCTTCTGCATTTCCCTCATTAATTTCTTCTCCTTCCTTGTCCTTCTCCACCCCATTTTTTTCCCAGAGACCTTATCTGAGAAACAGATTTTAGAGAAAACCATTTGATCCTTGTTAAGACTGTCATGCTCTTGACATCAGTGATGAATAGACCAGCAGAACAAAGCAAGCTTACTGCAGCCTGCCTGACTTTGTCTCAAGGGAAGCCTGGGATTGCTTCTTCTCTGTCTTTCCATTAGTGTCCAAAGGAGAGAGCAATCTCATTTTCTGCAGGGATTTTTATAATCCAGCTGGCTTTTGTTCAAGGGATCCAGTGATTCCTTTCATCATCCAGAAGACTTTACCACATCCTTTCCTGAGAAAATCTCCTCCTGTGAGATCAGTTATTGCAACCTCTGCAGGGTGAACAAGAATGTTATTTACCACCAGAAACTCCATCCAGCCATGCTTCGTTTATGAACACACAGCTTATTCTTTTTGAGTTTTTAGAAGCATGCTTCCCAGAGTTCCATGGTATATGTGAAGCACACAATCCGTGTATTTTCTCTTGGTCATTTCTGTTCTCTGTAGATACAAGATTTGCAAAAAATACAGATTTATGAAAAATCAAAAGTCCTGCATGTCACTGTTCACCTGTGGAGGATGTCAGACCAGAGGTAGCAGGCAACAGAAGCTTTTAGCTTTCAAGTCATTGTAATGCTGCAAAGTGCTTGTATAAAAACTTAATTTCCTATGTTTTTTAATCCCTTCCTATTTAGGAAAGCTTTTAGAAATGTGCCAAATTTTAAGCTACATTCTGTAAAATTCATGTAAGTTTAAGAGCTGTACAGAAGTAGGATGTAAATCATGGGGTAGAAGAAGGAAGGGAAAATGGTAAATGGTAGTAAAACAAAAAAGAGGAGAAAGCATGAAATAACTTTCCTTTTACAATGGCTTTTCAGCAAAAACTGGGATGAAATAGAATTATTTCTTTTAATCTATGCTGATATTTTAGAGAAATATCTCTTCCTGAGAAACCTTTCACTTTCAGAGACAATTTGTATAATACATAATTATGCAGTGCTTTCATTACTTTCTGCTGAACATGATAATTTCTGGGGGTTTTATAAGAAACAGCTGAGTACTTGGCCTGGGAATTGAAGTCTTCTGTTAAGCTAGGTCTTTGTTTGCAGACTTCTTCATACTTCCTTAATAGTGTGACTTGACCTTCACAATGACACTAGTTTTTCATCCCATGGCTACCCTGATTACTCCGAGAGCTGTGTTAGAGTTTTTGCAGGTGTGTTGGACAGAGACTAAACTAGGGCCCCTAACTCACTGAAAGTAGGTCATCAAGCAATTGTGTGATGTGTGATAACAAGTTATTTCCTTGGCTTGCTGTTGACTTGGGTTCAATTTGCACCTGAATAAGAGCTTTGTGGAAATGAGCCAAAGGCTGCTCTAGGCAGCAGGCAGCCTTTTACTGTCACTAGTGGACTTTCTAGTTGACCTCGAAGGGTATTATTAACACCCTAAAGCTGAGTGGTATTTCACTCCTTTAATTATGGGTTTTTTCTGTCGTGAAGAACAAAGCACGCTGTGAAAGCAGTGTTTCTACAGCAGTAATTGTCAGGGATCTTACTGATGCATTTCTTTCTGCTACTCCCTTTCTCAGTTTGCTGTATGTAGTCTCTAGTTGCCTGCACTTTCATCTCTGGCAAAGCAAACAACTTAAAAACATGTTCCCTTTTGCTTTCACTGTTGTTTTCAAAGGGATTTTTCATCTTTTGGGACTTTTCCTCTCTGACTCCTGTAAGTCTAATATTGGTCCCACAACCCACGCTGTTCCTCCCACCTACCTACCTACCATTGCTCATGCGCCTACTCTTCTAGAAAGTATTTTCACTATTACCAATGTTTCTTTTTATATAAGGAATAACCTTTGAACAGCACAACTGTGTCATATCTTCTTTACATAATACAAATGTATTTTCCTGGTTTTGCCGAGGACTTTTTCCCTGCCGTACTGTACAATCTCCCTCCTACAATTTTCCTCCATTGCCATGGTTTCCATGTGGTTACAGCACATGTGTCAAATGCTGTGGTACCATTCTGGATAAAGCACAGCTTGCTGTGATTTTGAAATACACACCTCCGCTGCTGCATTCTCATTATCCTATCAGGAAGTAAGCAGATATTTTTTTCTCTGTCTTTTCTGGCAGTATGCTCTTGGTGTTTAAGCTTTCACAGTCTAGATAAACTGATTCAGCTGGAAAAAAAAGGTGGTATTTTCTTGCCATTCCTAAAAAGTGGCAAAAGTTTAACTTTCACGTGTCAGCAAATTGAAAATGGACTGGTTAGCAAACTTCTAAAGAAGATGCAGGTGACAGATAACCGACAATCCTGTTACAGCTGAGCTTGATTCAGGACATATTCCTTCACTATTTATATCTGTGTTGTTTATGTTCAGCATGGTTTTTGCTGGGATAAAAAGTATGCAATTACATTGCTGTCCACGTGCCAACCTGTCACTTCCAGCTCCCAGTAACTCTTAAATCCATTGGCCAACTATATCCAAGTTTACTAGAGAAACTGCAACCTGAAAAATAGGAAGTTCCAGAAAGCTTTATCAAGATCTGTAGCTGGATAAGGTAAAGAAGGAACTGCAGCCATCCCTTTTGTTCTTTTGAAGGACTATGGGCAAAGTAGCTGATGGGTCAGCACAAGGAATAACATGATGGCAGCATTTTCCCAGCCTAAAAAGATAAGGAATATGGAAAGGACTGGAAAACTCTGTTGAGGACAAGAGGGCTGAGAGATGGATCCTGTCACCACAGGTTTCCTACTTCATTTTCCCCCTTTCCTCTTCTCCACTGCAGGCACACTCACTGCTAAAAATACAGATTCAAGTTATGCTTCTTAACTCATTATTGCTGCTATTGTGGGGACTTCATCCATTTGAATGTTTTATTTGGTTTTTTGTTTTGTTTTGTGGGGTTTTGTTTGTTTGTTTGTTTGGAGGGGGGTTTTTGTAATGTATTACAGAACTTAATGGTAATTTATTTGTAGACATAGATTTTGTGGTAAATACAGTTGCAGAGTTTTTCTTCTGAATCCATATTTGAACACAAACTTTTTCTGAAACAAGCTGTACTCTGTGATCACTAGTGAATTGAAAATGTTAATGATCTTGATACTTTGTAGATGCATTTGTAGAATTTATGTAAAAAATAAGGAAGAACAGAAATGAGGGTTTTTTCTTAGCAAAACTTTATTTTCAAGGTATTTTACTGGGCATATGATGTTTTTCCAGTCAGCTGTGATTAGGAGAAACTCAATTATAAGCACCAAAACCCCTTTTTAATGCACACCAAATTTCACCACTGATGATGAAGAGAGTATGTAAGCATATAAGCATTAGACTTTTCTCCTTTTTATCCCATGGTAAAGAATTTTTCTATATAAACTCCATCATAGCTGCATCTGTTCCTGTGATTTACTGCATAGATGACTTAAAATAAACCAAACAGTTTCTACCTTTAAAGTTTATCAGAGACATTCCAAAAAAATAATATCTCAAAATAGGGGCACATTATTTGTTTACACCCCTGTTTATATTTTTATGTGGTAATACAAATAAAGTACTTTCTACTTATATGTTTATGGGAATCTGGAGACAAAATTGTTTTGAAAACAAATTCACAATAAATTATCAAGATCAATTAAATGGTATACTCTGTTAGCAAGCTTAGTAACAGTGACAAGAGCAATGAGAAAGAGATTTATACATCCTGAACTCAAACTTTCACATCACCTCACTGAGAATTAATCAATCAAGTTCCAAACCACCAAGCTGAGTGTTGACTCCAACCCATATTACTAACCAAACCTTAAAGAGTTGTAGCACCAGCTCTGCTAGGATGACTTGGAAAGAAAATCAAACCACTACATTGTTACTTAGTATAAAACATATTTCAAGATAGGAAATTCCCTGGTCCTGGTAAAAGTGGTCCTTGGAAAGTGTCTGCACTGAGGGAAATTATGAGGGTTGTATGGATAATTTTA